TTCAACGTTCAATTTCAGCGTCAACTTTGGAGGAACTTTCCTCAACCCCTTACTATTTACAACACCCTCTAGTTTCAAAAACTCAATACCACCCTTTTATTGTTGTTAATTTAGCGTCCAATTTGAAAATTGGGAGTCAAAATTAAAAATTTCATCCCTTTTTTTTTATTTTAACGTCTAATTTTGAATATTAGGAGCAATAGTTTTGGAGTGTTAGAAGTTTGGTCATGTTCATTATCGTTTCATTTTTTATCATATACGCTTTCTAAAACAGAAAACATGAAAAAGAAGAAATTTATGGATAATGAAATACTTAAAAATAGGAAACAAAAAATATGGTTTTTTTTTTATTAATTGTACTTTAGCACAATATTTCAAGTTTTCATTTTTTTTCAAATTTCTAAATAAATATTTTAGAAAATGGAAGAATGAATTTATAATTTTTGAAAATACAAAATCAAACTTCTTATTTCGAATTTCATTATTTAACACAAAAACACTAAGTACAATAATGAAAGCCACCTAAAGTTACAGAAGAAGGGGAAATACTGTTAGTTTCTGAAAATAAGAGGGTGACCTAACTATATCATAGATAGGGGTTGAAATTGATTTTTCTTTCTCCATACATAACTTAAACATTGACGTAACACTCCTTTAGAAATATCAGCTAGCTCAGATCTCCCTCTGTTTTGCTTCTCTCACCATGGCGGAATCGTTTCTATTCAGCTTCTCAACGAACCTTTTGATCAAGTTAAGCTCCCTTGCCTCCAAAGAACATAGCTCGTCTTCGGTTACTCTCGAACCCGATTTGAGAAAGCTAGAAGCAACCTTGTCCACCATCAAAGCTGTGCTTTGGATGCCGAGGAACAAACAACGCATAACCACGAGCTCCGTTTCTGGCTCTGGAAGCTCAAATACGTCCTTTACGATGCGGAGGATGTGTTGGATGAATTCGAGTACGAGCTTCGAGGAGCAAGTGGAGAAGCCAAAGGTAAGCTCCTTCTTCTCAAGCTTTCAGTCCAAATTGAGTCCTAAAATCAGGAGATTAGGAAGAGACTAGATGGATTGAAGCTAGTGTGTCTAAATTTATCTTAAGAGCGCCTGACGTTACGAGTCTTTAAGGAACTCGTTTGAACATGCCAATGATGTTCTTGGTAGGGGGTGATAAGAAAACATGGTAAACCTTTTGAGCACCTGTGATCCGGTTGAAAGTTTCTCGGTCATTCCTTAGTTGGAATCCGAGGTATCGGAAAAGTACCTTGCGAAAATGGTGTATAAGGACGAAAGGGTGGATAAACATTCGAACTAAGGATGTGGTGTGTGTATCTGATGACTTCGACGTCAGTAAATTGATGAAAGAAGTGTCCCTTCTGCAAATGGAAGAAGTTTTTTCTGTCTTAGATGATGTACGGTCTGAAAGTCATGTTAATGGAATGATTGAGGGAATTATTGTGATTGTGCTAGTGGAAGTAAAATTATGTGTACTACATGTAGTAACCAAGTTGCCTCGACAATGGGCTCTGTTCCTGCGTATGTCTTGAAAGGTCTTTCCCATGAGGATTCTTGTCGTTGTTTGTGAAATGGGCGTTTAGAGAAGGTGGAGAAAAATTATCCAAACCTCGTTAAAATTGGAGACGAAATTGTGAGAAATTGTGGAGGGATTCCTTTGGTAGTGAGAACTTTAGGGAGTGTGCTTTATCAGAATACGTATAAAACATGATTGGTTTTGATAAAAGATTCTGACGATTGAGGCTACTAGAACAAGGGAAAGGTGACATCCTACCGTCCTTGAAACTATGTTATGATCATCTGCCATGTCACTTGCAACGGTGTTTTGCTTATTGTTCATTTTTCCAAAGGGTTCCGTTTTGACAGCAATTATCTGGTTCATTACTGGATGGCCTTGGTTTTCTTGCACCCCTAATGAAACGAAGAGCTGGAAGAGTTGGGTTCGGTACTTGAAGGAGTTATTTTCAAGGTGTTTTCTCAGGATATTGAAGATAATGTTTGCTTGACCTTTAAAATGCATGACTTATGCACGATCTTGCAATATCCGTGACACCAAGAGAATGCTCAAGGGATAGTCTAGCACCCAAGCATATTGCCCAAATTGTTCGACATTTTTCATTTATTGAACTCACATTCTGAGAAAGTTGCAGAGCTTTGAAGAGCTTAAGAGCCACTCGGACCATTCTTTTTCCGAGTTTACAATCCAAGAATGTTACTCAATCCTTCTTGGTAATTGCATATCGAATTCTAAATACCTCCGGCTGTTATGCTTAAAGTCTTCGATTTGAGGAGCTGCCAGACTCGGTCTCTTCATTGAAACATTTGAGATGTCTTGACTTATCCTCGAACTCATTATAGAGGAGCTTCCGGAGTCATTTCAAGCTCTATATGTTGCAAACTTTGAGACTTCGTGGATGTTCAGGGCTGAAGAAGTTACCCAGCAATTGCAGAACATGATCAACCCAAATATCTGGAAATCACTACGAAGGAGAGGCGTTACCACAAAACGGAATTGAATGTTTGAGTTCTCTTCGACATTTGCGCTTAAGCGACTGCCACCATCTGTAACATTGCCTGACAAATGCAGAGTCTCAGCAGCCTCAAGACATTGATTCTGGAGGGTTGTTACAGCTTGATCTCGCTCCCTTGTGGTATAAAACATCTGAAGAGACTGGAGAAGCTGGTGATATACAATTGTCCGGAGCTTAATCGAAGATGGACTTACAAGGGGAGGAAGAAGAACATTGCTTGAATGTTAAAGTGTTCATGATAAGTGGATTGCTGGAACTAGTGGACTTGCCCCAATTGATTCTTCAAGGCTCTGCAAAAACTTTAGAGTACATGAAGATTGAAGCATGTCCAAACCTAAAGCACTGCCGGAATGGCTTACAAATCTCACAGCACTACAGAACTTGAAATTGTAAGTTGTCCAGATTGTCATGCCTGCCAAATGGGATGAAGAACCTCACTTCTCTTAGAAATTGAAGATACAAAATTCTCCTATCCTGAGTGAGAGCTGCAGGCAGAATTGGCCAAAATTTCTCATGTTAAGGAGATTCATCTCGACTCTACAATTCTTCATCAAACTCTACAATTACTTCATCAATGAATAAAGACGTATGTGTCAATCTCCCTACTATATTCATTTTTATAAGCCTGGAAAATTATTGTTATTCAGTCTGAAGAAATTAGAACTTTCTGCAATTTTTAATTGCTTGTGTTGTTCAACTTGTTGCAGCCGTCTTAGGGATTCTGTCAAGTTTTCGGCTCCGATGCTAGTGAAGGAACCATTCATGAATTATTCATCTGTTTCAATTCAGATTCCTTCATGTTAACTGTTTTCAGTTTTGCCTTCTTTAATTTTTATTTTATTATTATTAATATAATATATTTTTTTTTTTTGTTATATGGTGCAAAGAGATTTTATTTTATATCTTGATTCATTTTAATCATCTTTGCCCTAGATGATGCTTTAGAATTATTTCCAATCTACAAAATTCAAAAGAACAATTCATTTGGTTAAGAAAGAAATTCTTACAGAAGGAACTGTCTTTAAAGCCTGAAGACCAGAAAATGACTTCTCAGAACCATGGCTTTTGGGAGAAGGCGTGCCGAACTTCTTCACCACTGATTCCTCTTGCCAAACAAATTCTTAAGTTCTCCCTGAGGGCTCATGAGAAGTTCTACCGCATAGTAGGTGAGATTAAGGTAAAAGTTGCACCATGAGAAAAGAGAGAGCGTGATTTCCCAAAATTCTGCAAAAAATTTAATACATGTTAAAGCTAATTATATGATTTTAGCTAGTGCTAAGAATCATATATGTGCAACATAGTGACTCTCCCTGTAACATCCCCGGGGCAAAATAAAAAATAAATAATCTAAAACTAATGTAAAATTACACAGTTTTTTATTCAGTACTTTTTCTGGGTCAAACATTCTAAACCTTCAGATATTGAACAGAGGGTGAATCCCCACCACACTCCATATATGCACACAAACTTTAAAACATAAACACCTTTAAGGTTTAGTGAAAGTGATAGTTAGACCTAAACAAGTGATATTACACGCGCAAACATTATAATATTATACATTTTATCCAAAAATATCCACCGTAACCAAATTCATTATCTAACAAACAAATCTAATAAAAAGACTCTTTTGTTTTATCTGATTATTAAAAAAAAAAAAACAATAATTAGTTATAATAAATTAAAAAATACTGGGCCTTTGGTGCAGTTCTCGTTTTTGTCCCGTTAGTGATGGCTTTTCATTCTTCTTGGCCATGTGCTGGAAGGGCGGGTCTTTTTGGGCTTGTACTTTGTTGCTTGTATAGCTTCTAAAGTTTTGCTTTTATTTGCTAAGGCCTGGTTTTTTTTTTTTTGTTGGGGGGGGGGGGGGTGGGGGGGGGGGGGGGGGGGGGGGGGGTGGGGGGGTTTCACCCTTGTAGTTATTTTCTTTTCATTCTTTCCTTACAATTACCATTTTATCCAAAAAAATATAAAAATCCAAAAAATAATTTCACAAAAAATATTTTTTATCCAACTAAATTAAAATAATAAGTACTTTATTTAGAAAAAAGAACTTTTTAATTACAAATTTTTTTAATGATATAAAAAAAAAATCTTAAAAAAAGTTTATAGATAGGCGTACTTTATTAGATAAATTATTTGTTTACTTTGTCCCTTAGTTACCCATGATTAATTTGCTGTCATATGATACAAAAAAGATAAACTCTTGTTTTTAATATATAATTAAATTTTAAGGCATTTTCAACTTTACCCCTTCATCTGATAGATTAAGCTAATGACAGTTACTTTTGTATGTAAATATCACTATATTATATTAAACCTCTGGGTCTGACTGTTACATTAAGCCTAAAGGGTGTTTATGTTTAAAGCCTATGTACACAAGTATCAACTAGAGTGCAAAGTTTTCACTAAATAACTTATGCTTTGAGATATTTGTATTGAAACCATATGTCTAAAGATCTGTATCCACCTGTCATTACAGAAAATGGAAAAACAGGGTCTTTTACCTCGCTTATAAGCCCCAACATTTGTGGTTTAAGAACTTCCTCATCTACCACTTCCAAGCTCTCTAGAGGAGTTTCTGCTAGCATAGCTTTGCAGCATCAGTAAGATCGAGATACACTTTATCAATAGAAGCCCCCTCACAACGACCCTTCCTTGAAAGAAAGGACTGCAAATTTGATCAAAGTTGTCATAAGATAAACTTTTTAATAAAATTTAATGATCCATTCAAATTGCATCTTAAATCCATATACCTCTGAACCCACAATGCATTCTGGTATGTAATCAGATCAGCTTTACCACGGGCTACAGGGACTTGTACTAGCTCATTTGTGGACAAACTTCCTCTGCCTCATTCCTCTCATTGGACTGAAAATCATGCATGAGATATCTAAATCTAATGCATTTCTGGAAATTATTTTGTCACCAAATAAAAAGTTCCTCAGAAAGTAACTAAAACTTACTTACCACTTTACACCATATTTCCAGGCATCAAAGCTAACAGCTATCAGGTCCCCATCTTTCCACTCATTGTACTGTACCACAGCAGAAGCTAAACCCCTTAAATGTAGTTGCTTTCTCTGCTCCATTGCATTGAAAATATCACATTTTCAGAGCAGAACAAACTACAGCAAAACTAATGCAAGGAAATGTGAACAGAAAGACATATAAGTTTTCAAACAGAAAAGCATTTTCTGAAAAACCAAGTAAATCATCACTATTAGAATCCAAAGATAAAAAATACACCTTCAATACTGTAATTTCACTATCACTATCACTATCAGTAGCAATTCTTACAAGTCAAATGCAATAACTAATCCTCAATCTTCAAAAACTAGTCTCTTTTTCCAATTATTCAACCATCCATAACATTATTCCTATCTTTTCTGATGTAGGACAGATTTTCCAAAACTAGGATTTTAGATTATTTTCCTTTTTCTTATTTGGTTTTCTAATTTTAATTAGGATTTTATTTGGAAGTTTAGTTGTTCAAAGATTTTAACTGAAATATGAGTTGTTTCATCCTGGATTCGAGCCGCAACGCTATAGCATATCTAATGCCTATCCCTATTCTGCTGCTTATTTTTTCTCTTGTCCGACACACCTCACTTCACAAACAAAATTTAATTCAAATAAAAATACACAACGAAAAGCCAAAATTTACTCCTAAACTATGAAATTATTCTTTAGAAATCATCAAAATTTCATCGAACTCAAAACAAACAGCGATTTTCTCAATTATACATCCATTTAAATACAAAAAAGAAAAAGGAAAAAAGAGAGAGAATTGGAAGGACCTTGAACGTCCAAGCAGTCCATGTCGACGTAAGCGATGATTTTGGCATCAGAAGACTGTGGTTTCGCCACTGGCATTTCTTTTCCCTCCAATTTCTTAGACGAAATAGGGCGAGAGCGAAAGGGAAAGAAGTCACTCCTATTCTTTTAGAGTAAGGGTAATTTGATTACCTCCTCTAAGGTTTGAGTAAGTATAATTTTACCCCAGAGTTTTCAAAATATTAAGTTTATCACTCGTTAAAACTCATAATATTTACAATGACACCCCTGAGTTTCTCAAAAATTAAATCCCAATAAAGACACTATTTCAATAACGACCCAACCTTCTCTTTGATTAAATCTTCTTTCCCCCGTTCTTCGCTTGCCATGGCCGGAATCGAACTCGATTGGGGTAGACTTTGTAAAGACGTCCTCTTCTCCATTGTCAAACTTCTCCCCGCACGAATCGATATCCTTCGTTGCGCGCCGCTTGTCGCTTATTTTGCTCCACTATTCCTCTTCCTTAAAAACATTACCCATTCCCACCCTACATTCTAATCACCACCGACTTCCTCAAAGACCCGAACTTTATCGAAAATGACGTTAGAATGACGTCTTAACCTCAGGGATTCCACTATTTACTCCATCGAGCCCCTCAACAGAATCTCCAATACCCAGGACGAAGAAACTCCTCAAACGTGGGTGGTCAGAGTCCAAGAGTTAAACTCAGGTAGAGTCCGAATCCTGACCCAATGACTACTGAAGATTTTAAAAACTTATCCGAGAAGTGACCAAAGTCTTTAAATTTATTGGATTATTGGGTAACGGAAATAGGTAAATCAATATGAACTTGACTCAGCTGTTGCACCCTTTACAAAAGTGGTAATTTCTTCATTTCTCGATGAGCATGATGTTGATTCTTCTGTTATGGGTAGATGTGTTTGTGAAAGGAAACTGGGAATGTGGAGAAATGTAGACATAGGACTTCTGTTTCATGAGTATTTTGCGGATACTATTTATCATAGTTACAAGTTTTATGTTTTGTTCTCCAATGGTGGTAATGTAACTGTGGATTCTAAATCTTTGATTGGTACTCAAGTTGTGGTAGACCTACGGTTGACTTGGAGATTTTCGATGGTATACTTGGTGGGGTCATTTAAGGATTTTTTGTTTTTTTTTTTTTGTTTTTTGGTTAATAAATGCCAACAGTACAATGATGATGAAGATCAGTAATATATCGAAGTTTTTAAGCTTAATGAAAAGAAAGGGAGGTGGGTTCAGGTGGTGGATGGATGGATTAGACTTCGAAGATATTTGTGGGTGTCATTAGTTGTTCGTTTTCTGTTTCGGTGAAAGAGTTGTCGGGATTTAGAAGGGATTGCGTTTATTATGCAGCTGATAGCTCAGATGATCATTACCCTGGAAATGATTGTTGGATTTGGGACTCTTATGATGGTGCAATTGGGCATATCTCAGTTTTTCGAGGCTATTTAAACTTTTTCTGATCTCTACAAGCTTGGTTGAATTAGCTGTTTCTTTGTTCTAGTTGTTTCAATTAGAATTGAGAATGTATCTTGATTAGCACTTTATCTGTGTGGCTTTATCTTCATTACTCTGGAAAAGAAATGGAATTAGATAATTCTTTAGCAAATTTGTGTGTCTTAACTAATATGCTCTGTTTCTGATTTTTCTCCACCTGTAGTTTTTTAGAAATATTAAAATTTGTTAGAAATGTCAAGAGCTAATTAAGTCTGATAATTCATTGTTTGAACAGTGTCCTTTATTTTTCATTATCTTCTGTATCTGTGTCCTAATACCTTCTTCATGCTTAATATGATCTTTTATTTGTTTAATTCTCTGTGTTACGATGGATTCTGTATACCTTAGAATTTGATTCCAGGAGTTATGCAAGTCCACTCCCCGCATCATGCTTTACAGTTAACTCAGTAGATTATGTTAAATAGTAAATGTTAAATTTCTAATGCAAACTTGTGTCAATGGCCCTATTTAAAAAAGGTGTTGCTAATTCATTAAGACTATGAGTATAGTAGGAAAAAAAATGTTACTGATGCTTGATTTAGCTACTTATCTATCCGAAGTAGAAGAGTATATAAGATATCCTTAAATACAGACATTCACCTAAAAGCTTAAAAGAATGGATGATTGGTACTCTTAATGTGTAAAAAACAGAGTATAGTTTTGTGTTTTTGTAATACTTATTTGTAGAGCATTTGGTCTGAATTCTGCATTCTTTGGAAGTGAAAATGGCTGATGTGTGTATGTATATATGGCTGTTAACTTGAGGGACAGGCAAGAGCTTATGGCCGGTGCTGGTGAGGAGAAACAGAGAAGAGGCAGCGGAGATAATTGTGAGAGAAACATTCCAAGGTTCATGACTTGATTGTTAAAGAAGGTAGCATGGTGACCGTGGATTTTTGTTGTGGTTAGGATAGGTTTTGAGTGTTGGTAATATGAACATCACAAATTGGATACTTAATTAGCTACTGGTGCTTGCTATTTATTTTTTTGTGTAGTACTTGTTTGTATCCAAATCTCGGATGTTGATGTATAAAGAATTTGCTAAAAAGACAAAATTATTATGAATTGAGAACTCTGACTTGTTGAAAGGTGCAGTATTTGTAGTTGACATTATTCTTCAGTAGGCAGATCCAGAGGATAATAAAGGTAAGAGGAAGAATATTCCCCCTCAATTGGTGGGAGAACCAGCTGCATTGTTTCATAAATTAAACTACATGAATATATTCTACATGAAGGATGAGCTGAATCTTCTTTACAAACACGAGTTTGCAAGTGAAAATTTTAGGGAAACCTAACTTTCTCTTCCATTTAGTAGTTTTCACCCTCCTGCTTCTTCTTTGGCATGGCCGAAATCAAACCCTATTGGAGTAGTGTTTCTGAAGACCTTCTCTTCTCCATTGCGTAAATTCTCCCTCTATGACTCCATATCCTTTGCCTTTGTGCTGTTTGTCGCTCATTTCACTACATAATTCCTCTTCCTCCACAACAATACTCATTCTTTGATTCGATTCTAACCACGATCGACTCCCTTAAAGGCGCAAACCCTGATGAAAATGAGTTCTGACTTAATGGTGTCCACTATTTTTTAGATTATAGATTATGAAATCAATAACTATTGAAAAAGCTACAAAAACCTCAAACTCGTCCTTAGAAGGAAGAGATACTATGGTCCAATTCTAACAGCTAGCAAGTGTTTGATTCGCTATACCGGAACTTTTGGGGGTTTATTGTAATTACACCTGTAAGAGGTGCAAAAAATTATACAGGGTAATATTCCTGCATAATAAACTAATAATAATAATAATAATAATAAACGGATGTTAATATAAAACTCAACATATTGGTTAACTTTAGAATTTTCCAAATCTAAGGCAGCATGAACAAAAAACTCTTTCAAAAACCATATGCATATATACCTTATGTTATGCTTGAAAAGTTAGGCTTGACGTGTATGTTCCAAAAACATGGTATGCATATTATAATTTATATTTTTTTTTTCATTTTTATATTATGTTTGATTTAGTTTGGATGAATTTTTTTTAATGGTAATCAATAATAAAATATTATAATACTTTTGCTTTTATTATATATATAATATGTTTGGATTTTTTTTTTTCTAAATGTCATCAATAATTAAATATATAAGTATATAACATTTTAATTAAAAAATAATAAATTATTATGATACATAACATGATAAATTTAATAACATAATAGATCGTGTAATCAGGTGATATATAACATAGTAAATCTAATAACATAATAGTTTCATATTTTTCCAAATGTAATCAATAATTAAATATTATAAGATAACATTTCAATTAATAAATAATAAATATAGTATGATAAATTGATAAACATAACATATTGTATAATCAAGTGATGTATAGCATAGCAAATTTAATAATATAATAGCTTAGTTAAATATAGTATGGTAAATTGATGAATATAACATATTGTATAATTAAGTGATATATAATATGACAAATTTAATAATATAATAGCTTAATTAAATATAATATGACAAATTTATGAACATAACATATTGTATAATCAAGTGATGTGTAGCATAACAAATTTAATAACATAATAGTTTAATTAAACCTAAATTAATCACACATTTGTATTGATTATATATTACAATAAACTCTCATATCATTAATGAATTTATAAGTGTTGATACAAAATATATATGTAGACAGTACTGATAATATATATATAACCTATAATTTTGATAATTTAATAACATATTTAACCTATGATTAATATATATATATATATATATATATATATGATAATAATTTTGTATATACACAATTACACATTATATATATATATATAACAAATTAATCACACATATGTATAGATCATTTATTACAATAGACTTTCATTCCACTATAAATTTATGGGTGTTGATACAAAATTTATATGTAAACATTTTAAATATTTATGATAATTTATGTAATGATAATAAATATATGATAACCTATAATTTTGGTAATTTCATAACATATATGATAATAATTTTGTATATACACAGTTGCACATTATATATAACAAATTAATCACACATATGTATTGATCATATATTATAATACTCTCATTTTACTATGAATTTATGGGTGTTGATACAAAATATATATGTAAACATTTTAAATATTTATGATAATTTATGTAATGATAATAAATATATGATATCCTATAATTTTGGTTGTAATGTAATATCTATGCAAAATGCAAATTCCTTTTGTTTGTGTCATGTTTGATATGGAATCAAATTTGTTTTGAACGGTTTATTGTTCTGTTTAATTTATTTCAAAGTTTTATTATTTATGATGGTTAGTTATTTTAATTTACTGAGTTTTTATTTATTTATTTAAAATATAAATATAGATAGAGAGTTGATTTATTTTCAAATATAAAATTAAATGGGTAAGAATTATAAATTGTTGTATATATTTGTTTTTTAGAGCATAAATTGGAAAGTTGATGTATAATTTTTATTCGAACAGGTATTCGAACGAGTTATTCGAACATGTATTTACAAGTTGTCAAATGAGTTATTCGAACAGATATTTACAAATTATCGAACGAGTTATTCGAACAGGTATTTACGAGTTAGTCGAACGAACACGAACGAGTTACGAACAAATATGAACAAGCCTTTTGTTAATCGAACGAACACGAACAGACATCTTGTGTTCGATCGAGTTCAAACACGAACTCAAACAATCGAACATGTTTATTGAACGAGTTTCGAACAAGCCTGTTTGTTCATGTTCGGTTCGATTGCAGTCCTATTCCACACTAAGCAAGGGTCTGGTTTTATCGGCCAATTTGTACTTCTTATCCGTAGTGAGGATATGAGTTCAAGTAGAGCAACTCGCCCATTGGGTGAACTCAAGGTCTCAAGTTACTCAAATGTAGACTCAAATAATAACAACAATATAAAAATAACAGCCACTTCACTTAGCTGATCTACCATGGCTCATAATAAATGATATTTAATTATATTTATTTTTTGTGAATGAATCTGTACAATATAAGAATCATTTATTGATAAAATATCAGACACCATATGGTAACAAATTTTTACCTTCTAAATTAATTTTTCCCTATTATACATTAAAAAAACTTTAACAATGAGAAATTAAATCATTAAGAGATGAAAACAAAAGGGTAATATATTGTATTTGTAACATGAAGACATCTAACAAGAGAGTCTGATTTTCGAAACTAATCTTCTTCTTCTTTTTTTTCTCTCCTTTGTTTTTATTGAAAAAGAAACTTGAACCCTTCTGTTTCCTCCCACTCAAAGAACATGGCGGAATCATTTCCATCGACCATTACCACTAACATTTTGTCAAAGATAGCCTTTCTTAATTCCAAAAAAGAAAAGAGGCCGTCGTGGCGTATTCCAGAAGAAATAAAGGAGCTCGAAAAAACCTTGTTGAAAATCAAAGACAACCTCTTGAATGCCGAGGAAAAGCAGGCACAGAACCCCGTGCTGCAGGAAGACCGTGAACAGCTTTCAGATCAGTTGTATGATGCTGAGGATATGGTGGATGAAGTGGAGTGTGAATTGGAGAAACCATCGAACAAAGAATCGAAGGTAAGTAGATTCACTGTGAGATGGCCACCTATTCCTTCTGTTAAGAAAAGTAGAAAACTCGATCATATTATAAAAAAGTTAAATAAAATAGTAGCTGCTGTTGAGCCTAAAAGTGGTCAGAAAAAGCGTGAGGTTCGGAGGGATAATTTGAGGAAGACGATGATAAATCACACCTGTGTTGGTCCTTCAGAAGTTTTCGGGAGAGACGCTGATAAGGAAAAAATTATGAACTTTTTGAAGCAACCAAAAAATGAAGGTGAAAATGTCTCTGTCATCGCCATAGTTGGAGGTGCAGGTATTGGAAAAACCACTCTAGCCAAATTGGTGTATAGTGACAAAACGGTAGACGAACTCTTTGATCTAAAGATGTGGGTACATGTACCTGGGGACTTTGATATAATTTCTTTGATGAAAGAAATTTGTACTTCTGCAACTGGTCAAAATCAAGCTGGATTAGCCGTCAATGAGTTAGAAGATCGCTTGCTGGATGAATTGGGTGGTAAGAAATTTTTGTTAGTCTTGGATGATGCGTGGAATGAAAATTATGATAAATGGGACAAATTCAAAAACTTATTGACGCAGAAACCCAATGGGAGCAAAATTGTGGTTACTACTCGTAGTAATCAAGTAGCGAAAGTAATGGGGGCTGTTGACATGTCTGTTTTAGAAGGCCTTTCCCAAAAAGATTCTATGTTGTTGTTTAAGAAATCGGCGGCTTTTACAGATGGAAACAACGCAGATAAAGACCTCATTGAAATTGGGGTTGAAATTGTGGGAAAATGTGGTGGCAATCCTTTCGCTGTGAAAATTTTAGGAACCCTACTTCATCAAAACAGAGAGAAGTCTGATTGGTTGCTAATTAAAGATGACGAAGGATGGAATCAAGAGTTTATGGGCGTCCTCCAATTTGCGTTGCCATTCAGTTACGCTCATTTGCCATCCCATTTGCGAAGATGTTTGGCATATTGTTCCTTATTTCCTAAGGGTTATTGCTTCAACAGTAATTATCTGATCTGTCATTGGATGGCGCAAGGTTTTCTTGCTACTCATAATGAAAATGAAGAGTTGGAAGATGTTGGGTTGCAATATTTGAAGGAATTAAGTTCGAGATGTTTTTTTCAAGATGTTGAATATCATGGTTATTTTTTTACATTTCAGATGCATGACTTTGTACATGATCTTGTCCTCAAAGTAGCTAAAACAGAGTGCAAAGTGGTAGATCTCAGATTCCAAAAAAATAAAGAAAATGCTCGACATTTGTCATTTCTCGACATTGAGTATTCTGGTCAAGTAGTTCCATCTATTTCCAAGAAATTGCGGACCATCATCATGCAAAGTATACTATCTGAGCACGTTACTACGGCCTTCCTTAATACATGGATATCGAATTTTAAGTACCTCAGGTTGTTATGCTTCAGTGGTCTACAATTTGAAGTGTTGCCAGCTTCTATTGGTGCATTGATACATTTGAGATGTCTAGACTTGTTATGCCTAAGGAAATAAAGAGGTGACGTGGGAAGAGTCGCGTGAAGGGCGACCTGCTCCCGTCAGAGCAACACGCACACGTCAGACCTGTCAAGCGATGTGGAGCCCACACGCGTCCTTTCTCCTGCCACAAGTCGTGCAATGTCAGCTTGGAAAAAGGGAAATGGGACATAAAGCCTGATTATACACTGACAATCACACCTAACCACGGATTTAGCAATGATTATACATTTTCGTTCATATAAAATAGGAGGCCCCTTCATTAGGGGGATTCGGCCATTTAACATAAAAAAGAACAACAGAAATCTCTCTCTCTTGTAAACTTTGCTTTGACCTTTTTCGTCTGTTGTAAGTCAGCTCGCGACCGCGACCTGACACCCACCAATATCAATACAAATCAGTGGACGTAGGACTTGCTATCTTAGCATCCGAACCACATAAAAACTCCCTCTACAGCTATTTTACTTTCCTGACCCTATTTTCACGTACTCAAACAGTCACTTGATATTATACACGTGAAAAATTCGTTGGTGCAGAATCGAGCATCAACAGTTTGGCGCTAGAAGGAGGCCTAGATTTGTGTCTACCCTTCATCAGGGAATCTTTGACCTACTGGTCTTACAGCTACAATGGCCCGCCAATCTGAACCTGAGCAAGGGAATCAGCATGCAGAAGGAGTCCCCCTGGCCCAGAGGGACACCCTTCCAATATACCTCTAATCTCGCAATGCTGCTGGGAATACCCCAACAGCCCCGCAACTGGACCCTGCCTCGGAGTTACCTGGAGAGTTTTGATAATACTCTCCAACAGTCAACCAGAGGTTGGACTCTGGACCAAGGTATGTCATCCACGACAGCCAGAGCCGTACACCCGCCAAAAACGCCTGCAGTCGCGCAAAAGCGCGGCAAGGGCGATAGCCCTTGCCGCGAGCACTGCAGCGCGTAAGCGCAAGGGTAAACAAGTGGCCAAAATAAGCCTACGGCTCCCAGGGCCGGCGAATAGCAAGGGTGCCCCTAGCAGAGTATCAGCAAAGCTGAGACTGGCGAGAGAGTGGACCCCGAGCTGTCCCATGCCACGATGCAAGCAAACCCAAGCAAAAATGCTGGGCATGGTGCCCGATCACCACCACAGAGCAATCCCGATCGTTATGCGAGATTACCACACCTCGCGGGCGGTTCGTACCACCGCGAGGGTCGTGAGAGTGCCCCTCACAACCCGTCATCTTCACATGCCCATGTCAGCATGTTTTGAGTGCGGCTGGAAATGCCGGCCGAAGCGAGGAGGAATCCGATCTCCGGACTGTCCTGAACCGCAACCGAGAAGGGAGGGCTCGCACGGGTAAAATAACCCCCAATGTGCTCCATTACACGCAAATTGAGGAGCTGCAGCGGCTCTGGACAGGTTGAGGGAGCAGCAAAACGAGCAACGCAGGTGTCTCCACATCCCCGTTTTCCCCTGAAGTGCTAGCTGCCCCACTACCACCAGGTTCAGATGCCAGACATGCGGCGTTTGTGAAACCATGACCCGCAGGATCACTTGTTGAGTTCAACGACCTGATGGAGCTCCACCATTTTTCGGACCTCGCGAAATGCCGATGTTTGCCTATGACGGCTGACTCCTCACGCCAAACGTGGTAAGTCGCTCCCACGGGTTCGATCAGTTCGTGGCCTCAGATGAGCACGATGTTCCTACGGCATTTCCAAGCCAATCGGAAATTTTCAATGCCTTTGAGCTACCTCAGCAACATAAGACAAAGAGAGATGAATCCCTGCAGTCTTATGTTGACCGCTTCCACAGGGAACTCAACAAGGTGGCTCACGCCCCAGAAGATCCATCCAAACTCTATAATAGCCGGAGTTCGCCCGCAAACCGACCTGTGGAAGGAACTGCAGGCCGAGACGATATTTCCCTCACCAGATTCTACAACTTGGCGGAAAATTATCTCCGAATAGAGAATTCGCTGGCGGCACTTCGCCGTCGCGATCGCCGGCACCTCCAGCGTTACGACAGGTCGGGAGATAACAGGCGAGCTGATCGCAAGGGAGACAATGACGATCAGCGAAAAGGGAAGAAACCCCGCTACGAACAGAAAAAGTCCTATGCTCCTGTCCCCCGTCACGACCGCGACAGGGCCCATACACCCGCTGAATGTGTCCATATCTGCGATCCTCGACAAATCCGAGGAAGCCAGCCTGCTCGGTGAGCCAGAACCCATGAAGACTCCTGCAAGGCCAGAACGGCAAGAAATACTGTCGGTATCACCGAGATACCGGGCATCACACTGATGAGTGCCGAGCCCTAAACAGGCTATTGAAGAGCTTATCAGAAGGGGCACTCAAGGAGTACATTGACGACTCCCCAAAAGAAAACCAAGGACGAAAGAACAAGCGCTGTGATCGAGCGGGTACAGCAGTGAACCTGATTTTCGGAGGTCCGCACCTCGCTGGAAACACCACGGGGCGCAGGACAGGTATGCTCGAGAAGCGCATCATGACCCGATCAGCGTCATGAGCACCTCACAGCGACCTCAGAAAGCCAGGAAGGAAGAACCAATCACCTTCTGCGAGAAGGAGGCGCTCGCTTGCACCATCCGCACGAGGACGCTTTGGTAATCACCCCCCCTGATTGGATTGTCATAACCTGCAGGATGCTTGTGGACAACGGGACGCTGTGAACATTCTGTTCAAGTCACTTTCGATAGAATGAACCTGGTCGAGGCCGACCTGAGCCAGCCTCGATGCCTCATAACGGTTTAACAGGGGATCACCTAATCCCCAGCGGAACATTCAGCTCCCTCACGCTCGGCGACTACGACGAGGTGACTAGAGTTACAGAGTTCCTGGTCGTAGACTGCCCATCGGCCTTCAATGGATCCTAGGGCGATCACTACTGAGAACCTTTAAGGCAGTTACTTCCATCTATCATCTCAAGATGAGTTTCCCACCCGTCGGGGATCGGGGGGGTAAGCGTCGCAAAGTGCATCACCGAATGCTATATAAAGCGGTCCAATGGCCGCCAAAGGGAAGAGCATTTCGCGGTGCACCCCCGTCAGGCCATGACGATCAGCCGAATCGAGCCACAGCCCGTCCGGCGAATAATATAGATCCACGAATTCAGGAAATCCCCCCGGCGGTCCGGTTGAAGATCTGTCTGAAGTATCATTGATCCGAAAGAGCCAGAGCCAATACTAAAGATCGAGCTGTCTCGATCCCCAGCTCGCTTCCGAGCTGGTGACTTCTTGAAGGAGAACATTATGTTGTTCGCGGGGCTGGTCGCCGCGAGAAGAGGACGCTACGATGGGTCAAGAGAGGGAGGGGAGAAGAGAAGAAGGTGGAGGGAGAGGATCAAAGACCGGCTGAGGAAATGATATTCCCTCAGTGTCATCTACGAGTGCCATAATCCTGAAGGTCAGCAAGACTAACGCTAATAAAGAAGAAGTATAGGAAAAGAAGTAAGAAGTAAGAGAATTCTCCATTGTCGACCACAAAATTAGTAAAGGTCGAAACTGTGATACCAGATCTCGTCTTTTCTCCATCATCTCGTGATCCGCGGCTAAAATTACAGACAAGTGCAGATACCGTCTCTCGAACGATGCCGATCTACTGTCCCTCTGAGCTCTTCTATCCCTATCTTTTGGTTCCGCACTGGGTCGCCACGGAGCCAGTCCTGGTCAAGAAGCCGAATCGGTGAAGTGCGGACGCGCTCGTCGTAGCTACTATCCGTTACGTCCTGCACATCTAAGCTGAGCCCGAAGACTAGTGTTCGACCCCTTCCTATCGATGAACTCCTGCCGCAATCCTGAGCTCGTATGCACCGCCGACACGTCAGCCTGCGTGGCTACCAGCGACGACTGTTACAAGCATCACCATCGTGGCATTGGTGGCGCGGTGCTCAAGACGCATATCATCACGCAGGGACTACAACATCAAAGGAATCTCGAGCTGGTAAAGGTATCAGCAGATAGAGGGAGGCAGTACGACCTTCAGTTACAACAGATTAAGGTAAGAAAAGGACGGGGGCAGTAATGCACAGTCGTCACTTGATCTTATAACCTGAGCTAGGCTACTATCTTGCTGAGAGGCACCTGATACTCGGTCAGCTCACAAATCGCTGCATACCGGTGCGACCTCCCGGCGTGTGAGGGTGATGGTTCAACTCGTGAATTCGTTGCCTCCGACCAGTAATCAGTGATCAGCCGCGCAGCAGAATCGGAGGTCTATGTAGAACAAAAACCCCAACATGCTAGTTAGATCCCATCAGATCGCCATGCACTGAACAAAGATACAATCACCGTCTGCATGAATGTGCGCGTGACATCCCTGTCCGACTTTCGTAATAGAATCCAGTAATACGAGCCTAACGGGCTGCACCAGCGAAATGCTCATGCCCTTTGTCGGCCATTTGGACCTGTTTATATATAGCATATCGCCGCTGACTGCAAACTCTTGGCGATTGCAGTATCGGGTGATCGTCAGGACAAGTTCCGTGTCAGTATGTACCTGCGCCTAGACTCCCGGCGGCGCATAGCAGGCTTGGCAAGGAAAGCTCATCCTTGCCAGCAGTGAAAAGATGATACAAGCTGCTGGCTACGTGAACTCTGGCAACGAGTAAAGGGTCTGCGAGTAGCCCTGCAATACACGGCAGCTCTAGTTAGGACGCACTGGTGCATAGACTCACGACGGCGCCATGCTAAGAACGGAACTCGGTCAAATCTAGGCCATTCTATCGATTCGCTAGTGCACGCGCGTGACCGGGCGCGGATCGCGTCATGGCTCCTGCTGGTCTATAGCCTGATTCCCTCTTGTGTATACTCGTGTCAGACGGTGCGGACAGGCAATCAAAATTTCGAGTTCTGAACTACTGAAGCTGCATGCAGGTCATTGCGCACTATCCGTATAAACAAGATCATCTTTTTAATACCAGGTATCATTTCCGTCCTTCTACTCGTACAAGCTGACTCTAGACAAATCGTTCACTAAAAAACTCAGCACGCATCCCGTTGTCCACAAGCAATCCTG